AAAATAGAGTTTATTCCATAAATCGTAACAGTGGTAATGGACGCAGGAGTTTTATAGAGGGCCAACGTCACACAGTGACGTGTATGCGTTCGTCATGATCTACTGCCTTACTGAACTACATCTTAACTATTAATTAAATAACGTTAATTAAGTAGTTTTAAATCTTCAAAAAAAATCTAAACACATGCTTTGTCTGTGACACCAATTCAAAATTTCTTACAAACTATATTAGAAAGTAGGCCGCGGCTATCTGAATTCAGCACTGTGCTCAACATATGGTGTGCTATTTGACCGCAAAAACAACACATAGCTTGTGTTGTATGTAATAATAATGTGTGTTGTTTTTATATATACGTGTGCTGAGTTGATGCAATGAGCACCGTAACCATCCCTTAGAAAGTAAATGAGAAATGATATAGAAAAAGCGAATAAAAAAATGAAATGGAAAAAGCTGAGACACTTGCCCACGCAGACCATCATGAGAGTTTGCACCTGACGACATTACCCCCTGTCACCCTTTGCCCCTGCTTTTTGAGTGTTCACTTCAACCGTATCTTCTCATTTTGTCTTCATGGAGGAAAGAACCTTGGTAATTTGTGCTGTTTCTTCAATAACTTCTGTTCCTGATTTTCTCTCTTACGCATCAACGCTGGTGTTAGGCGATGGCAGATGTTTGATTGAATTGTTTCTTTTTCTATACGTTTTGACTGGAGGAGGAATTGATTCAATTTAGGGGGTTTTGAATGCTACTTTTTTGAGGCGACAATTCAAGAGAACGAGCTAGAGAGAACTTATTTTGCGTAAAATTTTATACTTTCCACTATGGATGTATTTCACAATTCTAGAGAGAGAGAGATAAGATAAGAGTCGGGGTTAGTCAATAGAAACATGGATTAACTTCTTAGGGTTATTTACGTTTTTTTGGCGAATATGATTTTTGTGAAAATGAAACCAGATTATATCTTTCAGTTTTGCTATGTTTTTCAACATTAGTTGATACTCATGTTTTGGGTTGCTGGTGAGCCTCTTCAATTTTGGCTTACATTTATTAGAATTTCAATCTTTATATTGATTATTATAATCTTTTTTTTTTTTCGTGTCTGTGTGTGTTATGCAGGGTGCCTTAGATTTGTATGTGTGCCTTGAAATAGATGCTTAGAAGATTCTGTTGATCTGTTCTTGTAACCTTGATACACCACACTCTGGTAGATTGTTGGTAAGATTCACTATATATTTGTCAAGTTATTTTCCTGTCCAACATTGTGGAATGCAGATATATTAGAGATTGTGTTGATTGTTGTATATAATCTTTTTTTTTCTGCTTATCTCTTCTGGTGCAATAAAAGGAGTAGATTTTCGATTGCTTCCGCACAAGTATATCTGCATTCTTGTTTCAATGTATTTAAGTTTTCACATGTCTGTTGTAGTTATTGTTTTAATACATATGCAGTGCATACAATATTCAACTTCTTCGTTTATTGGTTCCAGAACAAATTCATCGCCGACATGGTGTCTTTAATTATCTCTTGGGTTTATTAGCTGATTATTAAGTATTTCCCATTGAGAGAATTTTATTTTTTTGGAAAAGTTAGCTAATGTACAAACTTCGATTAAATGTATCTTTAGTTGTTGTATTTGTTGTTTTCTCTTCAACGTCAATAATGGGAATGTTGAGTTTTAATACTGAAACTAAATGAATCCTCTTTACCCAACTTCATTAAAGAATTAATCAACCCGCTAAAAGCTGCCATACTATCATTTCAATGATTCATCCGAACATCCTATCTTGTTCATGGATGGTCATTTTGTCCTATAAAAAAGCTTCATTTGTATGGAACCATTGTATGTTGGGGTATAGTGTATTTTCAAATTGTGCTTTGTCTTGGTACCTCTGTGTATTAATATACCATATTGTGTTTATATATATATATATATATATATATTCCAGTGAAGAACCTTTCATTTTCAGAAGCATAGATACCGGAGAAATTAAACCGATGTCAGTATAGGAAATTTCAACCCAATATAATCTATATATATGCCAACAATTGGTCAAAGGTATAAATTCCAAAATATATATATTTTTTGTTTCCATCAATTGATAATTTCATTTTAGTTGATGATATACAATTTTCGCATCAATTTCTCTCATGAGCCACCACTCATTTTTTCTTTTTTCTCTTTCTCAGTTGTTATTTATGTTTTTATTATTACTCTGTAAATCTCTCTATTATACTTGGAATGAGTCTCATTGGTGATTGAGCATGAGGCCTTTTTTTTTTTTTATTTTAAATTGGTGCAACATAAGAGTTTTTCAGGAGTTTATCCATCATAGTACTTTTGTCCAAACATACTTAACTTTTGATTATGTAACAGGGCTTTTGGTCACTGAGATTCAATTTGTCGGTTATGAGTCAAAGTAATTACTGGGCACTAAGGAGAAAGAAAGTGGCTGTTATGGAGGATTTCTATTTGTTTTTATAATGCCTTTAAATTGCTTTTATAATCAATTATGTAGTAACATTTGAGTATTATTGTCAAGAAGTGAGAATTGTTTGAGAAGTTGTCCTGTTTTTCTATTCCTGCGCCAACAATTGTGGTATCAGAGCAGCCACTTTGTCCAGGTATCGATCCCTTTCCACGCAGATAGATCAAGAGTGTTATTTTTCCACACACGAGAAATCTGCCCGCAGGGTTCTCAATGGCAAGCAGCAACAATTCATTTTCTCAAGCCCTAATCCCCATTTTCAAAGGCAAAAATTATCATCGTTGGAGTCTTAAAATGAAGATCTTGTTCAAATATCAAGAACTATGGGACATTGTTGAGAGTGGATTTGAAGATTCAACTCCTGCAACGGTGGAATCCAGTCAACAATTGAGGGAACATCGAAAAGAAGATGCTAAGGCCCTGCTTCTCATTAATTGGCTTTGGAAGATGATGTATTTTTCAGAATTTCAGCAGCCACCTCTTCCCAAGAGGCATGGGAGATTTTGAAGATGGAGTACATGGGTGAAAAACAGGTACTCACTGTGAAATTACAAACCTTGCGACATCAATTTGAAACATTAGAGATGAAGCCTGACGAATCTGTGCAAGCTTTTATGTCGAGAGTTTCGTCCATAGTGAACCAAATGAAATCCTATGGTGAAAAAATTACTTCTGAAATTGTTGTAAGTAAGGTTTTGAGGAGTTTAACTCCACAATTTGATCATGTGGTTGTTGCGATTGAAGAGTCAAAAGATCTCTCGATATATAGTTTTGATGAATTGCTGGGTTCTTTGCTAGCACATGAATCTAGAATTACCAGGCCGCTTGATAAATTTGAAGAGAAGGCCTTTCAAATAAAGGGGAGTCTTGTATTGAACAAAAGCAGGACAATAATGTTGGAGGGCGTGCTCGAGGATGGAGCACGCATAATTTTTGTGGTCGAGGAAGAGGCCGAACTGATGGTTATGGCAGACGAAAATTTGGAGATCAATGCAACTATAAAAGTAGTAATATTCAGCGTTACTACTGCAAAAAAAATTGGCCACAAAGAAATTGATTGTTGGGCCAAAGAAAAAGCAGAAAAGCAAGCCAATTTTACCGAAAAAGTGGAGGAGAGTAAGTTGTTTATGATTCATTCAGCACTTATTAACAATGTCAATAATATTTGGTTAGTTGATAGTGGTTGCTCGAATCATATGTCAAGTTCCCAGTCTCTATTTCGTAATCTTGTTGAGACGCAGAAAAGTGAAGTGCGACTTGGAAATAACAAGCAAGTTCCAGTTGAAGGCGGGGTACAGTTGCTATTAAATCTTTGCAAAGTGACACTAAGCTTATTCATGATGTCCAGTATGTGCCTAATTTAGCTCATAATCTTTTAAGTGTGGACAGCTTATGAAAAATGTTTTTTCGGTCGTGTTTGAAGGAGATCTTTGTGGAATTAAAGACAAAAATTCAAGTCATACAATTGCTTCTATTCGTATGACCCCAAATAAAATGTTTCCTCTTGATGTGTCGAGTGATGTAAAGAATGTTTTGATTGTCAAAGATGATAATGAAGCTAAATTATGGCACTTACGGCATGGACACTTGAATATAAATGGCTTAAGGCTTTTAAGCACAAAAGAAATGGTTATTGGCTTGCCGAAAATTGGTGAACTGGAATTTTTTGAAGGTTGTGTCTTTGGAAAACATAATAGAGGATCTTTTCCGGTTGGGAAGTCTTGGAGAGCTTCAGATTGTCTTGATCTAGTACATGCTCATTTATGTGGGCCTATGCAAGTTCATTCATTTAGTGGAATACTTTTTGCTATTTACTAATGATTGTAGCCGTATGAGTTGGGTTTATTTTTTAAAGTCTAAATCTGAAGCATTTGAGAATTTTAGAAAATTTAAAGCTTTTGTTGAGAAGCAAAGTGGTAGGAGTTGAAAGCATTGCGAACTGACCGAGGAAGTGAATTCTTGTCTAATGAATTCACTAATTTTTGTGACGAGAATAGGATTCGCAGGGAGTTGACAGCCCTGTATACACCGGACCAAAATGGTGTTGCAGAGAGAAAAAACAAAACGGTAGTTGAAATGGCTACAAGCTTGATGAAAGCTAAGGGTCTTCCGTATGAGTTTTGGGGAGAAGCTGTTGCAATGGCTGTCTATCTCTTGAATATTTCACCCACAAAAGTTGTTTTTAATCGGACTACAAAAAAACTCTTGATTTGCGAGGGAAAAATTCCCTCGCAAATCAAATTATTTCCTTCGCAAAACATGTTAGCGAGGGAAGTTGTGAAGGAATACATGTCATCGCTATACACTTCCTCGCTAATTTGGATCCAAGGAAAAACTCCCTCGCAAATGTTTGTGAGGAAATTTAGCGAAGCATCGATTCCTTCGCAAATGTTTGCGAAGATATAGTTTTCCTTCACAAATTGATTCGAAATTTGCGATGGAGTTCATTTCTTCACAAATATCCATCACAAATTGATTCAAAATTTTTGAGGAAGTTCATTCCTTTGCAAATATCCATCACAAATTGATTCGAAATTTGGAAGGGAATTCATTCCTTCCCAAATATCCATCGCAAATAAAGGGACATCCTTGGTAATAAAGGGATTTGTCAGCAAAATGAAAGATGCGGGTAAGTATTGAATGATTATAACAAAACAACAAATTAAAAGAAAATACCTTATCAGCTCGAACACCAAAGGCCAGATAGCTACCATCATTTGACCTTACAGTAGCAGAAAAAATGAGTTAAAAAGATGATCCAGAGTTGCCCTTTATAGTAAGAATGCTGTACAAAAAATTGTGAAGACTGAATAAAAATTCGGGAATTCATACTCCAGGCAAGAAAGGGAAGAACATGTATATAACACCAACTCATTCTAAGTGTCGTGTCTAAACAGAAGCAGCAGGAGGAAGCTAGATGCAATACATTTTTTCAAAATCATATACTATTTCCTCATCCACCTAAACAACATATCTAAATGATGGTTCCTACTTCAAATCTAGAACTGGTAACCATCAAAATAAGTTAAATAAGATCAGTAGTACCCCAAATTCGTGGTCTTGTCACATAAAACATAAGCCTAACACTATAGATTCAAACGACTTATATCAAAGAACTGAACAGCTGATGAGAAATTTTCCATTCGACTACAAAGCAAGCTTATCTTTGCTCACACACACAAAGGATAAACAAACCAGAATTCCGTCTTACCACGAAACAAAATTGATTTTTGCACCACTTGGAAGACCATGTACTTCTTTTTCAGGTCCCAATGTACAGTCCTCCATTATCTAATAGATTCCAATCCCTGTATAATATGACCTGGAAATAAATATTAAAAATTATTTCCATCTAAAGAATAGAAGTAGGAAAAATAGATAAAAATACCTAAAGCCCATCACAGTTTTATTGCAGAAAAAAGAAGTCCGTGGAACATGAAAAGGTCCAACAGTTATTCTGTTACTCACATTCGACTCTGGGAATTACATTTGGGATCAACGCGAATTCCAGCAAGCTTCTCCTCAGGCCTTGCCAATTTCTTCCAGAGGAGGCAATGATCTCCTTTTGAGGAAGAGTATTTTATCCCTACCAGGTGAAAATGATAGTGTTGGAAGGGGCGGAGCATCAACAATATTTCTAATCTCTGGTGGAGGAAGTCTATATCCATTTCCCTCTGATAATTCTACAAGGATGTGTGATACAGCAAATGAGAATCAGACATTTAACCTTTAAGATTGATGTGAAAAGTTAAGATTCAAACTGAACACCAGATGCAGATCCTCTTCTTCTTGAATCAGACAAAAAAAGATGAGAATCCTATTAAGTACTACTGTGCAGTACAAACATGAAAGGACCTAGTGATTTGTTGAATAATGGCAAAGTTATGAGACAACAGTCACCAACTAGCTTCCTCCCGACTAGATGAAACAAAGAGTGAGCGTAAAGTCACCAAAACCAATCCGTTTCGGCGATACAGCTTGTTGAAAAACCAGGGGTGCAACAGGCCGGAAAGATAGTTTCATCAGATGAACGTCATAAAAGTACCTCTTCCACATGAATTATAATAACCTCATATAAATTGATCACAAATTTCAATACGAAGTCTGAATCTTAATCAAAGAGATTCCCCATAGCTGACGGATGTATGTAGGATCTAGAAAGATGAGAAAGAGCCGCTACTCGTCATTAAGAAAATAAACAGACAACAAGAGAGAATAGCAAAAGATCATTTAACAACAGCAACACAAAAGATTTATATCTTCCGATCAAAGCCAAGCACAAAGTCACGCAAACGCTTCGGGGCGACAGGATAAAGGAAAGAGAGGTAGAGAAACAAGCTTCCCTCCCCGACCACAATTACATTCATACAAAATCCAGATTACAGTGCAGAGTAACAATATCGGAAAACCCCAAGCAGTTGTCAGTATTCCGAAAATGCATTCATACACACACGAAGTCAGGAAGCTAGTTTATCTAATAGCTACCTTCATAGTCAACGGTGGATGGAGAAGAATTGGTGGCGCCACCCAAGCTCCCGGTGGCCCCGTTCATGGCAACAGCGCTGCGGAACATCATCGTCCGCGCCCCAACGGCAACTGATGACTTCGGGTTGAAGAATAGAGAGGATGGAGGGAGAGTCGATTTTAGTTTTACAGAGAGAAAGCGCGGTGAAGAGGAGAGAAGGAGAGGATGCTTGTGTGAATGAAGGAAGGAAAAGCGGGGCGCATGTTAGCTAGCTGGTGAATGGATGAATATAATTTCTCTAACCTTTAAGAATCTCCTTTTAGGAGTGGGTGAGTGCGCGCCTGCCTGCCTGCATCCAGGACCACGAAGGAGCTGTTGGGTATGATAGATAGTAGAAGAACTTGCAGAAGAAAATATTACGTGCTGTTTTTGGATAAGTTCTTTTTTTCACTCACCATGAAGTAAGGATTACATCCATATGTATAACCAAGAGACTTTCTAGACAACTCCATAGGACTCTTGATCTTCGTGCCATTACTTCAGGGTATTATTATTGGCAATTACTAGAACTTAAAGTTCATATTAACTATTCTGAAAGTTACAAATTATTATTTCAACACCGTCTCTTAATTTGTAATTTTCAAATGCTGTTTGTGCTTCTCCATCTTCTCCGCACCAAGGGGTTTGGTGAGAATATCAGCCGGTTGCTCACTTGAATTGATGAATTCAATGTTTGTTTCCCCTTTCGCCACAAGGTCTCGAATGAAGTGATGACGTAGTTCAATGTGTTTTGAGCGAGCATGAAACACGGGATTCTTTGTTAGTGAAATAGCCGACTTGTTGTCACAGTAATAGCAGAGTACTCGGCTTCGGTAGATGATAGTGCTACTGTTCTTTGCTTCTTTGAACACCAAGATATTGGTGATTTCCCAAGACAAAATATATATCCTGTGGTACTCTTTCTATCATCAATCGAGCCAGCCCAATCGCTATCAACATAGCCAACCAAATTGCAATCGTTTTCTTTTCCATATAGAATTCCGAGCTTCCTGGTTCCTTGAAGATAACGCAGAATTCTTTTTGCTGCTGCAAAATGATTTTTTCTTGGATCATTCATGTACCTGGACACCACACTAACTGAAAAAGCAATGTCTGGCCTCGTGTGAGTTAAATAAATGAGAGATCCCACTAAACTTCGAAAGAGAGAAACATCCACTTTTTCCGAGTCATTTAACTGCTGGAGTTTTTCATTTGTTGCCATAGGCGTGGACATGGGTTTGCAAGTAGCCATGTGGAATCTCTTCAAAATATCATCAACGTATTTTTCTTGTGATAGAAAAATTTTTCCTTCGCTTTGCCTTACTTGCATTCCCAAAAAATACTTCATTGTCCCCAAATCCGTCATCTCAAATTCCATCTTCATCTTCTGCCTAAAACTCTCCAGCAATGATTCGTTAGTTCCGTAATAAATCAAATCATCAACATATAAACAAACGACAAGAAAATCACCCCCTTCTTTCTTGATGTATAGTGAGGGCTCATTTGGACTTTTCTGAAAACTGCAGCTTGCAAAGTAGCTGTCAATTTTGTTGTTCCAGGCTCGCGGAGCTTGCTTTAGCCCATATAAAGCCTTTCGAAGTCGGTAGACTTTCTCCTCGCTCTTTTTCACGACAAATCCTTCAGGCTGCTCTACATAAACCTCTTCCTCCAATTCTCCATTTAAGAAAGCGGACTTCACATCAAATTGATAGATTTTCAATCCATAATGGGCTGCAATTGCTATAACAGTGCGAATGGTCTCCATTCTCGCCACCGGAGCAAATGTTTCATTGAAGTCGACGCCGGGCTGTTGCGAGTACCCTTTGGCAACAAGACGTGCCTTATGTTTCTGCACTGAACCATCCTCATTAAACTTTGTTTTGTAGATCCACTTCAGCCCAACAACATCCTTCCCTTCTGGTAAATTGACAAGTTCCCACGTTCGGTTCTTTTTAATCATATCAATTTCTTCGTTCATTGCTTGTACCCAGAATTTTTCTTTTGCAGCTTCTTGAAAGTTCTGTGGTTCATGACAGAAAAATGCAAAATTGCATGAGGAGTATATGTCCTGCAAAGGTCGTACCTTCAGAATTGGATTTTCTGAATCCGGTTCTTTATCATTTGGATTTGGTTGAGCCGAAGTTGGACTGGCAGGAGCATTCTCGCACTGAGTTGTGCGCTCATTCTGTAATCGCAATGGTTCTGTAAACTGGCCAGGCTGATTTTATGGCTGTTCATAATCTGAATCATTCTTGGTCTTCCAATCCCATGATCCACTTTCATCGAATATGACATCTCTAGAAACAGTCAGCCGATTTTCCTTTGGATCGAAAAGTCTGTACCCCTTGCTTTCATCACTGTAACCAATGAAAATATATTTCTCACCCTTCTTGTCGAACTTCTCACGTTTCTGAGCTGGTACATGAGCAAAGGCTATGCTTCCAAATATCTTCAAATGATCGACCACCGGCTTTCTCTTATTCCACGCCTCGAACGGAGTCTTGTTTGGCACAACTTTGGTGGGTGATCTGTTTAGCAGATAAACAGCAGTATTAACTGCTTCAGCCCAAAAATTATTTGGAAGTCCTTTCCCCGTCAACATGCTCCGAGCCATCTCAACCACAGTGCGATTTTTTCTTTCAGCGACCCCATTTTGTTGTGGGGTATAACTCACAGTAAGCTGTCTCAAGATGCCATGTTCCTTGCAATGTTGTAGGAATGGAGTAGATATAAACTCTCCGCCATTGTCAGTTCGGAGTGTTTTTATTTGGCAGCAACTTTGATTCTCTGCCATAGCTTTGAACTTCAAAAAAGATTTGAATGCCTCTGATTTTTCTTTCAAAAAATATACCCACATCATCCTCGTGAAATCATCGACAAACAAGATAAAATATCTCTTCTCGTTGATCGATGGTGTCTTCATAGGGCCGCATATATCCGAGTGTACCAGCTCAAGTGGTGCTTTGGCTCTCCATGACGTTTTGGGAAATGGCAATCGATGCATTTTCCCATAGATACAACCTTCACATATTTTTTCTTCATGATGAACATCCGGTAATCCCAGAACCATTTTTCTTTGCTTCAAAATGCGCAGCCCTGCCATATGTAAGTGACCATATCTTAAATGCCACAAGAATGAATTTTCCACGACTTCATTCTTCAAAGCAAACTGATTGCTTGAAGGCATAGTCAACGGAAAAACTTTGTTTGCAGACATCTCAACTTCAGCCACCAAGTCATTATTCTTCGTGAAAATTCTTGCCATTCCATCACCAAAAATGACCAAATAACCACTTCGTATAAGCTGCCCCACACTCAAGAGGTTTTGCGCTAGATTAGGCACATAAAGAACGTCATGAATTAATTTTTTGTTACCTCCTTTGGTAAAGACTGCAATCGTACCCTTTCCTTCAGCGCTTTGAACATTTCCATCTCCAAGCTTTACGTGTGAAGTACAGCTCCTGTTAAGTTGCTCAAAATTGGCTTTCATTACTTGTCATGTGGCTACTACAGCCACTGTCCAGATACCATAGGTCGGATTTCTGATCTTCATCTTTTTCGCTCGTATAAAATAATGTCTCAGATTCGGCATTCTGCTCCTTCAAGAAATTTGCTTCAGTTTGCCCCTTCTTTTGATACCAACAGTCCCGTTGTGAGTGATTAGGAATTCGACACCTCCTGCACTTATGAAAGCAGTCCTTCGAATCATGATTGGACTTCTTGCAGATAATGCAATACGGGCTGCGTGCTGGTTTTTTCTCAAGATTCTCGTCCCTGTTCTTTGGAACAAATTCTTTCTTTCGTTCTCCTCCTCGGTTGGGTTGATCGCCTCTATAAAAATTCCGTCTTTGTGGTGCATTTTGGTGAGACTTTGCTGAAACAAAAGTCTTCAATTGAAAGGCCTGCTCAAGGGACTGATTTTGAGCTCTTTCAATCCTTTGTTCGTGAGCCCGAAGCGAGCTCATCAACTCATGAAGTGACATCACAGACAAATCTTTGGATTCCTCTATGGCAGCAACACAATGGTCGAATTTAGGAGGTAAACTTCTGAGAATCTTCTCGATTACCTTCTTGCTTTGGATGGTGTCTCCAAGACTTTCAATGTGATTGACAATGTCAACAGCTCTTGTAAAAAATTTACTCACATGTTCACTCTCTTTCATCGCCAAGTTGTCGAAGTCCCTCCATAGAGATTGAAGGCGAATAGAGATAACTCTATCATTGCCATGAAACTCCTCCTTCAACACGTCCCATGCATCTTTTGCCTTCTTTTTATTGAAAATCCGTGGATAAATTGCCTTACCCACTCCTTGCTTGATGTAGCGAAGTGCAGTGCAATCCTTTTTCTTATTTTCTTTGTATTGTTTTTGCTGAGCGTTAGTCCAGGCTGCAGATGCACCTTCTACAGGTGGTTCTTCAAATCCATCTGCAACAATATCCCAAAGGTCATGTGAAATGAAGAAATCTTGCATTTCACTACTCCAATAATTGTAATGATCGCCTTCAAAGATTGGAACCTCACTCGGGGAATATTTAAACATGGTAGGAACAGAACTGGACATTGTTTTCAGGCTCTGATACCAAATTTGTTGGGTATGATAGATAGTAGAAGAACTTGCAGAAGAAAATATTATGTGTTGTTTTTGGATAAGTTCTTTTTTTTCACTCACCATGAAGTAAGGATTCAATCCATATGTATAACCAAGAGACTTTCTAGACAACTCCATAGGACTCTTGATCTTCGTGCCATTACTTCAGGGTATTATTATTGGCAATTACTAGAACTTAAAGTTCATATTAACTATTCTGAAAGTTACAAATTATTATTTCAACAGGAGCCATCCTTAGTGTTTTATTTGTTATATAAAAATATATTTATTTTTTTATTTAAAAATATTTGTATTTTTTAATAAAAAATTAAATTATTATGTTATTAATTTAATAAAATCTAAAATTTATTAAGAAAATTAATATTTTTTTACTTTCGATTCTTTTTAAAAATAATTTAAAAAATATTATTTATTAATTAAAAATACTAATTTGTAATTTTGTGAGGGAATATAAATCTTTCCCAAAATTCTTCGCTAATAGCAAGGAATTTTTATATTCCTTGCAAATTATGTTCGTTAATTTTGAATTACTTAATTCCCTTACAATTTTTTTTTCGTAAAAACAAAATTCATCGGTATTTGCGAGGGATATAAAATT